AATTAATGTGTTAGAATAATTTACAATTACACAGTCAGTTTTTTACCTGGCAAGTGCCTGTGCTTTGGTAAGACCCACAGACTCATCACAAATAACATATTGGTGTTTAATGCATGGAGGAACTTTACAAGGCTGTCCTTCAAGTGTGGATGACTGTATAAGTTTGACATGATCTCCCCAGCCAATTTCTGTCAGGTCCTCTTGGAGAACATCATTCACAGTCGCAGAAGCTCCAATCATCTGGATGTGCTTAACCTTTGATAAAAAAGAGATAGAAAAATTCTGATTACCTAAAAGGATTTTTAGCCCTAACAGACCTGATGCCCTATAAAACTGATCCAGTACTTGTAAATACCAAAGCTTTGAAAAATGACATATACAAGGTTAATAACTGCTATGAGAAAGTTGATTCATCAACACTGTAGGATTTAGTTTATGAACCATAGGCTGATATACATTAGAATCACTGAGCACTACTAACACTAATTTAAAGATCATTATACAGAATGAACCAAATGCAAAAACAAATCAAACTAATGCAGAAAAAAATACTATAGAGTAATCTAGTGGTAAATAGAAGAAAATTAGTTTTTACAGAGAAGTCCACACCAAATGTAGGGAGGAACTGTGAAAGAAGTGCTTTATATCTCAGAGCAAAGCAAAGAGTGACCTTTTGTCATCGGAGAATACAACCATCAACTTCAAGATCAAGCTGCTGCATTTCACACAGTCATCAGTGATATGAAGAAGACTGATTTAACATCAATAGGATGAATCTCACTAAATTCACCTTAGATAACTGAAGAACTTTTTCCACCACTGTCTTAGCTGCTCTAGGATAGTTTGCACGATGAGTGAGCTTCTTGAATGAGGACCTCCTATGAAGTGGCAAAAGAACTTTGTCCACTTCATCAATTATGATCCTTTTAGTGCGTTGCACCAGTGAAGGATCCTTCTCAATTATCTCAAGAATCCTCTTAGGTGTTCCAATAGCTATCAAAGGTTTCTTTGCCTTATCTTTCAATCTTGCCTCCTGTTTACTCAAATTGACACCACTCACCTAAATAAAGAAAAAAATTCATATCATCCCAACTTAAGAAGGATGAATGCTTAGGTTTTGAGAGTAGGGAAACTCTTTGAGTTAGATGACTATCAATTTTCATTTGCACTTTATAACTCTATTTTATACAGAAAACTGAAAAAAAAAGTAACCATCCTCCCTGAAAATTTAATACGTAGCTACTTGCTGAGAGAATAATTGGGTCAAAAATCTTGATGCATTGATACCCAAAGGGATATTGTGCTTTTTCTGTGTTAAAAATGTTAGTCACACCAGTATTCTGTTGTTACATTCATAGTGTTAACCTTCAACACCCTAACATCAGTTTGCATCTTCTCCACACTATTCTCTTCACATTTCCTTAGGTGCTGTCAAGAAGAGTTTGTTCAACTATTAAGAGTCTCTTTAGTTAGCAATCATTTCCTTTATTCTCACGACCTTAATGCTTGATTTGGAGGTGATAATGTGAAGAAAATTCGATGCTAGTCCCTCTTAGAGGTTCGAGGGTTAACAAGTTACTCTGCCATATTACTCATACACAAGGATATATAGCAGTTAGAGAAGAGAATTACAAAACTATCACATCCTTGTGATTTAAGAGCAGACACTCATTCTTTGAGACAAACCTTCTCTTACACTATACCTACCTCTGATTATAAAAGCAACCAAGCAAATAATTTAGATTCTTTTTATCTAAATTCCAAAAAACAGGATTTTCAATAACTTTTTAGTGGTCCACTAAATTTGACCCACATAAAAATAAATGCTTAGATTACATAAAGCTGTAAGCTACATTTTTTACATTTTAGGATAACTCACAAAAGACTCCGCAATAGCTTTATCACTGAGAAGACGACGAGCCTCAAACAACATTTGACTTGCCAATTCTCTTGTGGGTGCAATGATTATTGTGCCAAAGGTTTTTCCAGGAGATTGCAGAGTAGGCAATAAGAATACCATAGTTTTACCGGATCCAGTTTCTGATTGAATAAGAACACTCTTTCCCTTTAAAACTATTGGTATTGCTTGTTTTTGAATGTCAGTGGGAGTGACAATGCCAAAAATGTTGAGCTTCTGTATAAGCTTTGGGTGAAGATCAAAGTCTTCAAATGATAGAATTTTAGAAGTATCAATAACATCTGATTCTTCCTTATTTTCCCTTTCCTCTTCATCCCTCTCATCTTTTCTTTCAAATATTTTTTCATCATCTAATTCCTCCTCTGTCAAACTCTTGTATACAGGAGTTAGCCTTGCAAAGTCCTCTGCTGTGGGAATCCTGAATTCTGTCGTTCCATCATCATCGAGAAGGTCGTCTCTTTCCTCCTTAGTCAGTTCACTTGCAATGGGCAGGGTGGTGACATTTGGAGTCACAAACGTATTTCTATAATTTTCCTTTGTCGACTTGATCCCTGTTCTTCTTTCTTTAAAAACATTTTGTATATATCCCTCTGTAGTACTCCACAGCTGCATGAATTCTTCATCTGGATCATGTTTCTTTTCCTTCTTGACACCTTTCCGTTTGATTCCTGTCACTCCAGTCAATTCACTCGTGTTTCGTGGCTTTGAGGCCAAACAACGAACATAATTGACATGACACGGAGAAAAGGTGCGCAGTAAAAGAGGCTGGCGGAAGATTTTTTCAATAAAAAACGGTTTCATCGTGAAATTTTAAGCGATTTGTCTGACCTTCCGCAGAGGACATTTAGTATTAGATTTACAGAGCGTCTCATCAGCATGCGACGGTAGATCTCTACCAGGCGTTTTAAAAAGCTATTCACATTCAATGGAGGTGAACTGGCTCGAGCTCAAAATAACCTTTGGAGGGTAGAGTGAAAAGAGAAAGTGCAAAAAAAAAAACAAAAAAAACAAAAAAAACAAAAAAACAGGAACAGGCAGACAGTTTCGTCTTTTACCCCAGAAGAAGAGAGGAAACTGTTTGTATGTTTAAATCGTGACGAATAGGGCCGAAATTCTGCTTTATTATTTAAGTTAAAAATTTATTTATTTAACTTAGCTTGAGTACACAATGTCACGGACACCTTCCTCTGCTCGTTTGTGCAGTCATGCAAGGACAGTCAAATAAGCGGAACAGCAAGTCCAATATAAGGAACAGCTGATCACAACCGTATTAGATACCGAGTAAGTAAGGTGGTGATTCCACGTCTGTACACAGATCGGCAGAGGGTAAGTATCTTTTTCGATTCCCGTAAATATGATTTGAATTCTACCATCGTCTCGAGGTCAAATGACAACGATGTTTTCGTCACAAATTCAATGCCTTCTATTTTTAAACTTACTTTATTTTGAAAGAAAAGTTGACTTTATAATGTGTTTCCACTTGCAGAGTTTTTTTCAAACGGGAGGAACGATTCTCAAGGCAAAACGAGCCAATTCTACTGAGCCTAATGGCTTTTTCAAGAAATGACATTGCAAGATACCTTTTTGTGGTATGTGCGGAACTTTATAGCTGTTTTTCTAGATTTATTTGAAAAGATAATGGGATTTATTCCAAGATGATTTCGTTTTTTAACCCGAGGTAACTTATCCTATTGGGTTAATGTGTTTGAGTGTCCTGTCTGTCTAAGCTCGATGCACCCATACGCACAGTTTTCGATTCAAAGCAGACGTTTCCGCGATTGCGAGACAATGCAAGCTATAATTAGAATACACTGTTTGGGCAAATCGATTATCTACAGCTTAGATTTGTGTTTTTCGTGTAAAATTTCTTACTGCAATGGTTTTAATTTTGATGGTCAGGTACCATCTTCTGTTTAGAGAAAATCGAACAGGAAAAACAAAAGCGGAACTTTCACATCGCTCAGCTCGCCGAGATGTTCCTTTGTAAGGAGATTGACGTAAATACTTTGCTTACCTTTCAAGAGGCCCTTCAGATTCATTGGAACTTGTAAACATGCAACTGGTATTGATAGTGTCAATTTGAAAGTCATTGTAATTATTGTTTGACGAGCTGTTTGAACGGAGTTAGTCAGGGATCTACAGGCATTCGATTTAAACACGAAACAAGGAGCCTCTAAGTAAGAATGACAGTGCTTTTTTAAGTCTTCCATGATGAACTTCTTTAATCAACAGGAATCACTGTGAATATTTCCTCACAGCACTCTCATCAATTCTATTTAGTACGACCAGACCTGAAGTAATCTTAATTTCCAGCCAGTCAGAATTGAGACCATACATCAGGGAGCTTTAAGAGCCCTTGACTTAAAGTGCCGCATGGGTGGAAAATTGCAATTAATCAATTCAAGATTTGTTTAAGTTTCTAGATCAGAACAGACAAGGGGTCAGTGAATTAATCACACTGCTGAGAGCCAATCAGATTATAAGGATCACCTGAGTCTAGTGATCCTAAAACAGATGCAATAAAGTAATAAAAAGATAGCTTTAGATGCTTAATTTAAACTTTTTGGCCAGTCGACAAACTTTTACTTCTATTGTGAATGTTGTTCATCTGAAATGAGCGCAATATTTTTATTTAATGATGCATTGCAAACAATAAATCTTTAGAAGTCTTTGTGAAGATTTTTGAAAGCTTGTTCATGATGTCATAGTTTTTAATTATTGGTGTTTATATTCAGCATTAATTATATAGGGCTTTGTAATCTTGCTAAAATTACATGAGATTGAATAATATAATTTTCTTTGAATATATTTGACTAACTATTCCATAGGGTTTTTGTACAATATGGTAAACAGCATCACTTTTTCTTAGACACCCACACTTCAGAATTGTGTTTTTGCATGTTGAGTGATTCATTGTCTGTGATCAAACTTTTGTGCTTAGACATGCAAAGCTTGGTACAGTTTAAATTTTTAAAAATAATCATAAAATTTCCAAAAATATTCATGTACAAAATCATCTAAATCATGAAAAATGTTTTTTATAGTTCACTTTCATCTACACTATCTTCTTTGAGCTTCTGTGACGTGAGAAATTGCATCAACTGCTTTGTACTTCATATGTCAGCTCATTGATTTCAACAAGCCAATATTCTGTGGCTTTCTGTGTTTTGATATTGTTCAAGACAGGATTACTGACTTACTTTTAGAGTTTGCACAAGGAAAGATTACATTTAGCTTAGTAAACACATTATCTTTCTCGCTTACTGAGTCTAAATAAAAAACAATCTTTGTAAAGATAACTTTGATTGCCCAGCATAGTACCCTTATTTTGTTATGGGCAGAATGCTTAAGGAATTATATTCAAGTAATACCGGTATGTCAAATGCTTTCATCTTGGTCCAATGAAGAATATAAGATTGTACTCTTCAAAAGAACAGAAGAATCATTCAGGCATTGTAATCTGAAAGTCAAATATCTTGAATATCCCTCAACATATGAAAAGTTGAACAGTCCCTAATTTTTTAGTATTGAATATGTTTTCTATTAAAAAATAGCCTAGAAAACATAATTTATCAATTACAACCTAAAACAATATAAATTTACAAAGTTATAAATTGAAAACAGTTTGCTGCAAACTAAATTTGCATACCATGCAGCACTCAATCATTAACATAATGTCTGTTCCTCCAAGCGTGACAAATTTTACTTAACATCATAGCACTCTAGTTTTTGATTTGTTAATCAGTTGATCATCTTTTTCGAAAAGATTTTAAGACCAAGATAATGCATAACTGTAGATTGTGGGAATGAAACCCCAATTAATATTTATAGTTTTAAATATGAGAGTACATTTATGAATGAGTATTGTAAGTCTGGTCTTAAATTTGTGTTTCAATAGAATTGTACCTCCCGCACAGGTTTGTGTCTGTTTTATTACCCCCTAGATTCTAGATAATTTCAGTCTTTTCCGGTTAATTCTTCTATAAAATTTAGCATTAAAGAGACCCCCACTGTCTCCCCTCCCTCTCCTTTCCATATGAATTTTCAGTGACCCTCTCTTTATCAGAATGGTGTGCATATTTTCTGCAAAAATCTGCTGGTACCCTTTAAAAGCAATGCTAGAGATGGATTCTTTAATCATTTTGTAATTTTGTCTGATTTTGGCGGAAGGTCTTCCCTGTGGCTTTAAGTCATACTTCAATGCATTTTTTTTTCACAAACTAAAATCTTTTTTTCAATTGTTATGAATAACTGAAAATTTTTTTTCAGATGATATGGATGATTATAAATGTTGCACTCTTTGCCTCAACATACATGAAATATGGCACAACGAAAAAGTATCATTATTTGAGGATTATTGTCAAGGTACTGTTCTATTTTATTTATTGATTTTTCTGACCAACAGATTTTAAGATGTCTAGGCTAGATTTTGCTTGCTGTTTCATTAGTCAAAAAAATTGAGGTCTACTTTCAAACTCCAAACTTTGGACATGACAATTTAATCAGTCTCTCTGGGATTAACAGGGAATTTGATTTTGGTTTAGCAAAATCACTTTTTAAGAGCCATTTCACAATTGTTAATCCCTTTTTTGATAGATTCATAAATAAGTTAATTTTTGCATTTAGCAAACAACTTAATGAGAGAAATCAGTTTTGGAAACTCTTAACAATGGCCAATTTACATTATCCACTTAATAGTTAAAATAAAAACCAATTTATCTCAGATTTTGAAAAGTCTACTTTGATCTATTTTAAATAATTATGATTTTGTTGTTCCCAGGGTGGACTCCCTTTTGCCCGAGGTGCTGCAATGGTGTTAAACTTCAACTGCATGTTAATCCTGCTATCCATGTGTCGTAATATCATCTCTCTTATCAGAAGTAATCTCAATGTATGTTATTTACTAGATAATAATGTGATCCAACTTTTTGTGATTATTCTCAGGTTAACCCTTTAACTCCCAAGATCTCATTAGTAATTCTCCTTTCTGTCCGCTATATAATTCTCCTGATGTTACCTCTGAGAATTTGGTATTGGATCAACTCATAATCCCCTAATTCTACTTTTCTTGGTTGTCATCACTTGTATCCTTGATTTTGTATTGATATTGTAAGGAGAAATTCTGTCTTGGTCACTGGTGGGAGTTAAGGGTTTAAGTTTTGCTGCTATGTGATTGGTCAGTTTTATGTGCGATTAGTCTTACTGTTGAGTTCATGTGTCAAGCTTGACTTATCTTGTTTGTCCAAGAAATCTGACTCAGTCTTGACTTCAGTTTTAACAGAAATGATACATTTAACCCTTTCTCTCCCAGGATCACATAAGAAATTCTCCCTATTTTGTGTCATACAATTCTTATTAAGTTACTTCCATCAGAGAATTTGGTATTGGATCAACCTATAATCCCTCTAATTGATACATCTCTTTTATTATCTAACTGCACAAAGTAGAGTACAAATATCCTGTGATATTGTACAGTTGGTTATTGTGTATTGTGAAAAAAAAACTGTTTAACCAGTGGGCTGCACAGGCTAAGCTTCTCTCTTCACTTTGCTTTTTCCAACTTATGAAAAATGGGCAGAAACACTTGGCAGAAAAAGAAACAAAAGGAAGATAAATAACTTATTAGAAGTTTTGCTGTGTATAAAGTATTGCTTGGTATTTTTATTAAACGTTTCTAATTTTACTTGTCCTATATGGGCTCATCAAAATATGGGGCAACTTGTAAAATACTCAGTGATTCTACACACCAAAACATCAAAGCAGCATAAAAAGAATTCTCATTTTTCATAGTGTGGTTGGTGTGGAAGCATTATAAGCCTTTTGGACAAGAATATAACTTTCCATAAGTACTGTGCTTACACTATCTGCTTTTTCACTGGTGAGTGAATTGAGGATATCCATGGTATATTTATGCATAATGACTATAGATTGAATAATGTTGGCAAGTACTGAGATTAATCATAACTTCCCTATGTCTTAGTTTCAGTTAGGGGTATTTTCCCAAAGCTTGTATCTTCTGTGTTCATTGTGATAATCAAGTCCAATTGCTTTAGTTTTTTCATTGGTTTTTTTTCTCAGTTGAAGAGTACTTCTAAATTGCATCTAGTTACTTCATTGCCCAAAGTCAATAAAACTGAAAGCAAGAATAACCAGAAGAGAATTGCTATATGGAAGATAATATTATTGTAAATGATGATGCCTTCTTTTTCATTAAAAAATTGATTAAAATATTTTTGCTTAATTTGTTTCTTGTTTACAGTGGTTCATATATGTGGCCACTGTTTCAACTTGACAAACCTTGTTGAGAGCCAATCAAAGGCAGACACAGAGATTGAACAGCATCTGAGTCAGTTAGATAACCCTTGGCTAAATCCTATCCGAGAATCTGGAGTTGTAAGTTGAAAGCAATTATTTGGTATTGAGATCTGCGACTTATTGGAGTTAGTAATGAATTTTTTGAAATGGAATCATGGCATCTCAATAACTGTAATAAAGTATATTTTGAGAGCATTTTTTTTTTTTTTAATCTATAGGATCCTGTATCAGGATTGTTTCAGACAGGTATGAGAAAATGCTAGTTGTGAAACTAACTTACCTCAGATTGAAATAAAAGAAAAAAAAAAACAGTCCCAGAAGTTCAAGTTACTTATTTCTGACAGTATTGGTCACTATAATGTTTTCCTTTTTAATGCAGTTGCTGGGGTCACAGGTGTGGTGATGACATTGTCATTAATTCTCATGATATCGTCAGCAACTGAACTGATAAGGTTTGCTTTTGATTAATTAAAATTGACTTTTTTTAAGCTTTTTGTATTGATGAAGGAGCAGTTTTTTTAACTCGGCTTTTAATATTGTGCATCTGTTGTCAAAGCCTATGGACAAAGATTTTCCTCTTAAGAGCAGCTGTGGTTTACTTCTGATCAGAAACATTGATTCAAAAATTTATGTCACAACAATTGAAGTCTCTACAAAAAGTTCTGTTACACAATATTTCTAAAGTAGATGGGAAGTGTCATTGTCTGATGTTGTGTTTAATATATTCTTCTATGCAGGAGATCCTACTTTGAGACCTTTTGGTTCACTCACCATTTGTTTGTTGTCTTCTTTGGCTGCCTTGTTGTGCATGGCACTGGGTAATTACTCATTTTATTGTGTCAGCAATTACATAATCAAATTTAAGGAATTATTATCAGATATGAAATAATCTTAACATTTTCTGAGATTTGAAAAAATCGAAATTGTCCACCCACCATCAGCTTTAAAATTTATTAAGTAGATGGCTCTTGTTTGCTCAAGACACTCTGTTCCAGTTATGATAAAGAAAGTAATTCCTGTATGGGAAGCTTCAAATTTTGTTGTCTTCCTTATTAAATCCTTTAAATGTGCTGGCCTCCATCAAATAGATAGTCAAAAGTAAAAGTATAGATCTCAGTTAATTGCTTGTTATTCAGTAAAGTGAGGAAAATTTTGTAAAAGATTATAATAGAGCCCCAAGTTCCCCTTTAAAATATTTAAAAGAGGCCATTGGAAGGGGGGGTGAGTTTTATGAACTAAGTGGCGTGTTACAGCCAGAGGCTTATCTCAAGTTCTGGA